TGCGATTTGACAACGATCAAGATGTTGAGGAATTCGTGCGCAATTGGTTGGTGACTCAACTTCAAAGTTTCTACGAGCAAGGAATTAACAAGCTTCCAAACCGCTGGGAAAAATGTGTAGAGCGTGAAGGAGACTATGTAGAAAAATAATCAACAGTATTTTTGTATTGTTTTATAAATAAATAAATATTAAAAAAGAATTCCGGTTAATATTTGATTCACCCTCGTACTTTGTAAATAATAAATTAAATTTTAGTCAAATTTATTATCAAATTTAAACATTTTTAAGAGTTACGTAATTTAACTATTATATTTCATTATTATACTATCATACTATTAATTCTACTTCTGTATACACGTAAACCTGGCCACTAAGTTTTTTTCACAAAATTTTAATATTTTCAAATAGCAATAACTCAGTGAAAAATAATCGTATCGAGATTTTTAAAAAAGCATTTTAAAGCTTGAAATTTCTACTTTTCAAACCAGTATTTCAAAAAACAGTACTACTGATATTTTATAAAGTTACACAAACATAAATAAGGATGTATAAATTCTCAAAATTTTTTATAAAAAATGCGAAGTTCCACGAAGCCAATTAAAAATTGCTCACAAATGGGGTTTACAGCTTTAAAAAAAGTGAATTTTTATTTGAACCTTTAATTTGTTTTTTTATAGATATATCTCTATAAGATTTTTTTTACCGAGTTATTCAACATTGGAGCAAAAAGGGTCATTTTTGCTTGTCCACTGCTCGATTACCGAGGGGAGCCCGCATAGGATAGCACCCCAGATCGACACTCGGTCCTGGCTACCCCCTCCTCCCATCACGGAAAGTGCCTAAGACGGCCCCGAGCCCAGGGACGGTCCAGGGTGAGTCCTTGCACTACAACAAGGTCGGGCACTGCGCGGGGAATTGTTAAAACATTGTAATAATACACTTGTGCCAGCGCTTTTTCCAATCTTCGAAGCACTTCCGGAACTCACTTTTCGGTATGGCGTTCAGCTCCTTCAGCGATTCTGTTTTTATTTCATCAATGTTGGCAAAACGTTGTCCTTTCAGGGTTCTCTTCAACTTCGGGAATAGAAAGAAGTCACAGGGAGCCATGTCCGGTGAATACGGTGGCTGAGGCAAAATAACGGTTTTGTTTTTTACCAAAAAATCACGAATAAGCAATGAGGTGTGAGCGGAAGCATTATCGTGATGCAATTTCCACGAGTGGTTTTGCCACAATTTTGGACGTTTTCGTCAGATTGCTTCACGCAAACGGCGCATAACTTCCAGGTAGTATTCCTTATTGACCATATGGGAACTCATGATGCACTACACCATTAAAATCGAAAAAAACAGTGAGAAGAACCTTCACATTTGATCGAACTTGTAGAATTTTTTTCGGTCTTGGCTTTTTAGGCAGCTTCCATTAGGACGATTGGACCTTGGTTTCGACGTCATACCCTTATACCCATGTTTCGTCACCTGTTATGACCGTTTTGAGAAGTTCTGGATCGTTGTTGACTTCATTCAGCAATTCCTGAGCGATGTCTACGCGACGTTGTTTTTGGTCGAAATTCAGCAATTTCGGAACAAACTTTGCTGCCACATGTTTCATGCCCAAAACATCCGAAAAAATTGCTTGGCATGAGCCGAATGATATGCCGACATCATCAGCAACCTCTCTGATAGTGATTCGGTGATTTTCCAGAATCATTTTCTTCACGTGTTCGACGTTATCATCGGTTATTGATGTGCTAGGGCGTCAGGGCGATCGTCATCTTCAACGTCTTCACGGCCCTCTTTGAAACGTTTGTACCACTCGTAAACTCTTGTTTTACTCATAGTAGACTTACCAAAAGCCACTGCCAACATTTCGAATACAGTGCTACACTTTATTCCATTTTTCAAGCAAAATTTAATACAGATTCTTTGATCCATTTTTTCCGAAAGTAAAAAATCGTCGAGCACATCAAAACACGTATAACCTTTTCGACTGTCAACAATAAACTAAACATTCAAAATGGATGCAAATGTCAACATATACGTCAGAAACATGTGTACGAATAAGATAAAAAAAAGTTGAAAATCGGATTTATACAGCCCGCGAAATTTAAAAATTTCCGTTATTTTTTTATCAAATATATACCAGGTGTACAAGTAAAAAATGGGAATTTTTTAAAAAGAAAACACCTTAAATTCGGAAGAATGATAAAAAGAGCTTTATTCAAAGTATGCTCCATTGCTAGTTACACATTTTTCCCATCTTTCGGGCAATTTGTGGATATCACGCCAGTAAAAATCTTCCCCCTCTGCCGCGAACCATTCATCGAGCCATTTTTTCACATCTTCGTACGAACCAAAGCGCTGCTCAGCAAGTGCGTGACCCATCGATGCAAACAAGTGGTAATCGGAAGGAGCCAAGTCTGGTGAGTAAGCCGCATAGGGTAGAACTTCCCAGCTGAGTGCTTCCAACGTGTCGCAAACCGGTTTTGCGGTATGTGATGGAGCATTGTCATGAAGAAAAATGACTTTGTGTGGTCTCTTTTGGTATTCTGGTCTTTTTTCAAGCAGCGAAATCGGTTCAAATCGATCAATTGTTGTTGGTAGCGTCCAGCATTAACCGTTTCACCAGGTTTTAACAGCTCATAATAGACCACACCCTTCTTCCCACCAAACACAGAGCATCGTCTTTCTGCCAAAGCGGTTCGGTCTTGCGGTCGATGTGGATGGTGCGCCTGCATCTACCCATGATTTTTTGCGCTTGGGATTCTCAAAATAAATCCACTTTTCATCCCCACTAACGATACGATGCAAAAATGACTTTTTTTTGTATCAAGCAAAATTTCACATGTGTTTTTGCGCCTCTCCATCTGTCTGCCGTCCAACTCATGCAGTACCCATCTTCCGGTCTTCTGAATCTTTCCCATCTCTCGTAGGCGATTGGAAACAGCTTGATGACTAACGCTCAATTGCTCTGCGAGTTGTTTTTGTGTTTGTGAATCATCTTCGTCCAACAATGCTTGCAATTCCACATCTTCGTACCTTTTTGGAGGTTTTCCGTGTTCCTTGCCTGCAACATCGAAGTCACCGCTTTTAAAACGCCGAAACCATCGTTCACACATATCTTGCGATGGAGCATGTTCACCATAAGCTTCTCGAAGTAATCGGTATGATTCAGCAGCAGTTTTCTTCAAATGAAAAGAAAAAAATTAATGCTGTCCGCGAATGTTCTTTGTTTGGTATAAATTTCAACATATCGAACACAACAACACAACACTATGCAAACACTTTTTCAATTTATCACTCGTGCGCGTCTGACATTTGTTTGCATTTCAAAATGGCATAACAGTCAAATCTTTATACCACATACTGCATTGATGCGCCATCTGTTTTCTCAAATCCGCATTTCATACTTGTACACCTGGTATATATATATATATATATATACATTCTATATATATGTATATATTTATATACATTCTATATATATGTATATATTTATATACATTCTATATATATATATATATATATATATATATAAACATGCGCGTGCATGTGTGTGGACAGTAATTCTATTAAATAATTATTACATTATAATCCATATATATTGATTGTGTTCCTTAGCTCCTGTTATCCGCTGATGCACAGAGATGGATCTGTTTTGTCTTCTGTAGTTTGTATTACTTTCGAACAGATCAGAATATAATACATGTAAACATTCATTAATTTGATGAAATCTGGAGCTTATGCATCTGAATTAAAAAAAGAATTAATCACATCTTTTATTAACATTATAATATATGCATTATGTACAAGCATATTAACGCTAATTGCGTTAATAAATAATTAGAAGTCGGACTAGATCAGAATTTTATTATTTACTTGTTATGTTTCAATATAATATTTTATACATATCTGAGGAGTAGAGTTTCAAAATTAGTCCGAAATTTATAATTCAGTTTCAGTCATTTTAAACTACAATTTGTTTACAGATAACGGAAAAGAAAGCCACTAAAAAACTACGCGCCTTACAGAAAATAACAATTTTTCAATCAGTAAGCTAAAAAATGTTAAACAAAATTGGTAAACACTTGCTAAAAACATTAAACAAATGCATTTTGTTCAGGGAGTTTTTATGTTTTTGGGTTAAAAAATATCAATTATTTTTGCTGTTTTTGAAAGCTTATAGCCACAAGAATAACCCATAAAAATGTTTTTTGGAAGAAACAAAAATTGTTGGAGATATACAAGATAAAATGATATTAAGTGTGGGGCCTTATGATCGATTCTAATTGGAGGCACCAATTAATTGCTATAATCGACGCTCGCCATTATTTATATTCAACTTTTCAAAACCATTCTTGAATGTTACTCTTCAATAGAACAAAGTTTCATTCTTTTCTGAGCATCACTCTCTCTCTCTCTCTCTCTCTCTCTCTCTCTCTCTCTTTCGTTTCTAACAGAAAACGGAAAGGTACTTGTACTAAAATATTTCAAACTGTATACATTTTTCACAAAACTGTGTTTTTGAATATGGTGATCACGATTCCAAAAAAACCATTAATCCGACTGACTTCTACTTTTACGATTATACTCAGAGAACATGTCATTATCACCGAAACTAGAATTAATAGTCTACATTAATTTTTTCTATTTTTTTGAAAGTCAAATAAAAGGAAAAAAATTAGAAAAATTCAAATTATTTTTTCAAACTGTTGTTATTTTGAAAATATGCATATGACATTAATTCTCTTAGTTCGAGCGAGAATTACAAGTCCACTCATGAAGAAAAAGTTTATTTTTTGACCAATGATACGATTCCTTAATCACCGTGTGATTGTGTTAGCAGTGCAGACCTAATTTCAGCGCCATCTTATTAGTAAAAAGTTAACATTACAAAAAATATTTTTTTACACGTGTACGCACTTTCTAGACCTGTATTAGTTTTTAAGTATACTTAAATTTTTATTTATTAAAAAAATTCTCAAAAAATGCCTTCAAAATCGACTCTCAGATTAACGTAGACTTCCTTAAAAAACTTTTTGTTAAAGCATCTTTGGTTAAAGGACCATGCCATTTTTTTTCTCTGGAAGCCTTTTTCCTGATACCCAGAAGGATAGTCGGAAAATCCGATCGGATAATTGGATATCCAAAAAGAATTTGACGATGAATATCCGATATTCGGTACCCCTTAATTTATTATTCTTTTTATGTTATAATTTTACCATTACATTTGCTGTTACTTTTTTATGATGACATACTCGTATGTTAAGATCAAGTTCATTGAAGATAAAAATTCTGACAGTATGTTTATTCGATTACATTACTCAACATTACTTTTTTCAAGACATTTTTTAAAGATGCTATCTCTTACAAATATTTAATAATAAAAAGTAGTAATTGATTATTTATTTTATGTAACTGTTGTTTAGTATATTTTTAATACTCAAAATAAGTATTATATATACATGTTGTGTACAGACAATACAGACAACATACATATGTTGTGAAGTTCATAGTCACCGATGGAGGTGGGCTCTCTTTTTTATAAGTTACGACAGTTTTTAAGTGTTTTACGCTGTAAACATTTTGACGCACAATGTCAATAAAAATAGCTTACAAAATAAATGTGTAATACTAACCCAAGAATAGCTGCAGAAATCAGAGCACTTAAGATAATGATATTATCCGAGTAATAAGACAGAAATGATTTTAACGTTATACTCCAAAATGCAGTTACGTCGTAATACAAAACAAAAATAATAACAATATTAGTACATGCTAATTGACATAAAATGTGTATAATCCATCCGACTATTATACGAATGATCCAGTTACGTAGTCTTTGGTATTCTTTTGGCGCTCCGAGGGCTTTCAACGAGTCGTCTACTATAGCAAGTTTACGTAAGCACATTTTCAATTCCTTTAAAAAAATTATATTGATTGATTATACGACAGAACAAAATTATTGTAATTTTATATTTGAGTAAAAATTATTGTTATTATGTGTATAGAAAATGTGACAGATAAAGAGTTATATTGTAATAATGTAAGCATTAAAATTGATCTGTTAAAAAATTTTTTTGTAAATTTAATTTAGTTCATTGCGCAATTCTATGAAAAAAATTACATGTTAACAGAGTAACATAAGACATAAACATAAAATATGATACAACATACTATAGTAGCTTGCAAATGGTTAGAGGTGTCAGCAAAACTGCTGTTACCATACATATAACCTACCAGCAAAAAATTAGAACTAAAACGATGCAATGAGTGGTGAAGCAATAATTAAAATCATATACATACGCACGCGCGTCCGCGCGCGCGCCCACAAACATACACACACACGCGCACGCACGCACGCACGCACACACACGCACACACACGCACACACACGCACACACACACACACATACACACACACACACACACAGAGGCGCAAGCACCTACACATATACCAGTTGCCGCCTCTCTTAAATACTGTGAGTAACGCACTGTGAAACACGAGATAGCAGAACGAAAGCAGGACAAAGAAGGAGAGGTTTTTATTGCTGCAAGAAAAGAATTAAAATATTTAATTAAGTAGTAGAAGAAAGCAGTACAGAACATAGTGGAACGATAAGTAATTTTAGTACCTGATGATAAGGGGGTTAAAAGTAAAATAAAGTTCAGAGTTCAACTGAAGAAGGCATCAAATATATAAAGAAATCT